TTTTGCCTCGACTAGCACTAAAAAACTCGACCAACTCTATTCATTCCATCTGAGACACGTCCACTTCTGGCCAGTGTTTACAAGCAAGCCAGCCAGCCACCGCGGTCGCTTCCAAGCATACAATCGGAACATTTCATATCATCACAGCCTTTTTAGTGATTGCACCTGCAAAATAAGTCACCATGGGCCCCAAGAAAGCTTCTAGTGCCAACCCTACAGCAAAACGGGTGAGAATTACTATGGATATAAAGAAAGAGATCATTGCTAAGTATGAAAGTGGAGTGCATGTCTCCGAGCTGGCCAGGTTGTACACAAAACCCCAATCAACCATCGCTACGATTGTGGCCAAGAAAACGGCAATCAAGGAAGCTGTTCTTGCCAAAGGTGCAACTATGTTTTCGAAACTGAGATCGCAAGTGATAGAAGATGTTGAGAGACTTATTGGTGTGGATAAACGAAAAACAGATAGCAGGAGATAGCATCTCTCAAGCGATCATATGTGAAAAGGCTAGGAAGTTGCATGAGGATTTAATTAGAAAAATGCCAGCAACTAGTGGTGATGTGAGTGAATTTAGGCCAGCAAAGGTTGGCTTAAGAGATTTAAGAATCGTAGTGGCATAACATAGTGGTGATAAGGCATAGTGAGGCTGCCGTTTGGACCAAAAATCAGCTGAAAATATGTGCAGGAATTCAAGGAGTACATAGACAGTGAAGAATTGAAACCTGAACAAGTGTTTAATTGTGACACTGACAATGTTGTGAAACACTTTAGGAATGTCATAAAGGAACGGGAGGTACAGGCCTCTATGGACAGATATGTTGTGCAACAAAGGTCCAGTGACTCTCAAGCTGGTCCTAGTGGCATTAAAAGAAGAAGGGAAGTAACCCCGCAAAAGGACTTGCCTACTCAAGTCCTAATGGAAGGGGATTTCCCTTCTAAACACTAACACCATCAACACTCTCCCCTCCTCCCATCCCATCAATCATCACCAGATCTTCAATAAATGTAAGTGTCATGTAACTGTGCATGTCTTCTTCAGTTTGTGTGTATTAAAATTAATATTTCATGTGGTAAAAAAATTTTTTTTCAATACTTTTGGGTGTCTTGCACGGGTTAATTTGATTTCCATTATTTCTTATGGGGAAAATTAACTCGACTAACGATAATTTCGATTAACGATGAGCTCTCATGAACGAATTAATATTGCTGGTCGAGGGTCCACTGTACTCTGAGCATGGTGTACATTATTAAGAAAAAAATCAGAAATGGAGATCCCTTCGTAATCATAAGTATGATCATCGTCAATAAAATCATTAGCTAGATAACCCCAATCAAGATTAGACAGGTGTTCCCCAAGTCCACTATAATCGGCAGAACAAAAATCAGGGATTTTTACTGTATTATCTTTATTCTTGTATACCCTGTTAATGCTTAAAGTGATGGATTTGTGATTACTTGCGCCAAGCTCTTCAGTGATCTCCAGATTATTTACGAGTGTTTCCTTATTTGACAAGACTAGGTCTAGCAAATTATTACCTCTGGTAGGCTCTGTTACACACTGCTTCAGAAAACAGTCCTGAACTGTTTCCATAAAGTCATTGGACTCCAGAATACCGGTCAAAGAATTCCAGTCAATTTGACTGAAGTTAAAATCCCCTACTATCACTATGTTATTGTGTCTAGAAGCCCTAACAATTTTGTCCCAAAGAAGTCTCCCTCTATTATATTGTGATCCAAGCCTGGAGGTCAGTATATTACACCTAGAATTAGCTTTTCTTGACCTTCTACAAACTACCCAAACAGATTCTGTTACTGTTCCATCTATTTTTATACCTGTTTTAATGCAACAATTAATATTTTTTCGAACATTTAATGCAACTCCTCCCCCCCCCTTCCCATTACATCTATCCATGTGGAACAACTTGAACCCTTGAATATTACACTCAGCAATCATATCCCGGCTCTTTAAATCATACCACGCTTCAGTTAATGCAATGACGTCAAAGTTCCCAGCACATGCTACAAGACGTAATTCATTAATCTTATTTCTTGCACTTCGACTGTTAGCATAAAATACCATCATATGTTTTTTCTTCTGCACATTTTTCCTATTCACCTTTGTTTTTACACAATTTCTGAAATTATCATTACCCAGAGTTACTCCATGATAGTTACTATTAAGATTCTTAATATCAGAGCATAAGTAAATATATCCATACTCATTATTTATCATTTCTAAACCCATACCTCTAACTAATCCTAGTTTAAAATCCTAGCAACCCCCTCAACTGACCTAGCAAGAAAACCCACACCTGCCCTGGATAAATGAACCCCATCCCTGGCATATATGTCATTTCGGCCAAAGAAATTGTCCCAGTTGTCAATGAATGGTACTGCATTATCCTTACAGTGTTTATCTAGCCAACAATTAATACCAATTGCTCTGGACAACCATTCATTTCCAACACCCCTTCTTGGCAAAATGCCACATATAACAGGGCATCCCCCCTTCTTCCTAATTATGTCTATTGCTGTCCTGAACCTTCTAACTAAATCCTCACTTCTATGCTTGCCTACATCATTGCCTCCAGCACTGAGGCAGATAATAGGATTAATCCCATTACCATTCATGATGTTGTCAAGCCAGCTAACAGTATCCTCCATCCCAGCCCCAGGAAAGCAAACCCTGTCTCCTACTCCTGTCCATCCATGTACCTAACCTGGCTATCCCAACAACAACAATATTCTTACCTTTCTTGGTGTCGTTCGTTGTGACGTTCCCAGTAGTCGACTCACATTTGTCGGGTAGCACGGAGAATGCAGTAGATGTTTCCACATCAATTTCGACAGCAATCTCTTTCTTCTTCATTGTTTCTACCTTTCCATTCGTCCTCTTGATTGTCAACTTTGTTCCATGCTGTCCAGCCACTGTCCAGGCCCCCTTCTTGACCTGAGGACTCAAAACAGGAGGACTACTACGAATCCTCTTGTTTTCCTCAGTCAATCGCCGTATCTCCATCTTCGCTACCCACAATTCTTCCTTAAGCTGCTGGTAAAGTTGCTCGATGGAGGGCATCTTGGTTCAAAAGGAGAGTACACTAGCGTCCTCACTGAGCTAAGTACACGTCACCACTGAAGGGGATGTAAATAGGGTCTTGAGGATATCTCTCCAAGAGAGAACCTGCAGTAATGGATTCAAATTAGACAAGTTTAGATTTAGAAAGGATATAGGAAAGTATTGGTTTGGAAAGAGGGTAGTTGATGAGTGGAACAGTCTACCTAGTTGGGTTATTGAGGCTAAAACCTTGGGTAGTTTCAAATTTAGGTTGGATAAATACATGAGTGAGAGGGGTTGGATTTGAGTGGGACTTATATATGAGTGGATAGAGTTATCAGAGCTTATTTCTTGGGTGGCATTGAAAATTGGGTTGGGCAAATGTTTTGTTAGTGGGATGGATTGTGAAGGACCTGCCTAGTATGGGCCAACAGGCCTGCTGCAGTGTTCCTCCTTTCTTATGTTCTTATATGTACATCCAACAACTTCAACCAGAACAACGGCTTCTATAACATCTCGCCAAGAAACTTCTTCGTCGCTATCCCACATAAGAACATACGAATCGAGAAACACTGCAGAAGATCCACTCATGTACTTATCCAATCTCTTTTAAAAGCTACCCAAGTTTTTAGACTTCTTCACTCTACTCCGAAGATTGTCACGTGCGCCTTTCTCCACCTGACCCAGCATTCCCATCCTATATATAGCCATGTATGTTTCACCCAGGTAGATCTGTTTGTGACTTGATAAAGCCCACTGCATGGGCGAAACGTTGTCAATAAAGGATCACATTATACTGCTTAAGTGTTTATATTTCCATTGTGTCAGTATTTTATACTATTTATTTCCATTATTGGTCTGTGTAAACAAGTTTTGTAAACAATGTAATGATAACAGTATTTGTGCGGTTTTTGTGTTGCATACAACACAAAATATTTTGGTCTCACAGGCCAGAAAAGTTACTTGAAAAAATAAAATATTAAAAAATGAAAGAAAAAATAGATTAAAAGTAAAAATAATATTACTGAGTGAGCGGCAGTTGCCGATGTTGCCGTAAGCGGTTCACTTTCCATCAACTTTGTGCCTCTATATCTCAGTAAGTACTGATTGCAATTTTTTTTTCTTATAAAACACTTAGAAAAATATTCTTAAGATTATGGTAAGAATAATTCTTTTTTTTTTTTCGAATATTTTTCGAAGGAGGTCTCGACAGTGAAAGGGTTAATAGCTTATGACTTTAGGCCATGGGTTTCTTCTCCAAAATGTGGGTTATTTGTGGACTGTTCCAGCCTTGGTATTGTGACTTTTATTATTTATATCTTTGTCAGTTATATGCAACATTGGTCTTGGGATGAGAGATGCTGCTTTCATCCAAACTCAGCTTTTGACATGTGGCAATAAATGGGCATGTGTGAATAGTAGAGGTTGTACTGTACAGTACAGGCCTCTTTATTAAGATGAGTCTCACTGAATAAGGTTCACCACCTTTCAAAATGTTATGCAAAAATAATTATTTATATATTTGGAAATACAAACATTTATAGCATAAACAGCATAGCATTACCAAATTATCTGCTGCTGAATTAATGGTTAATAAAGTTTACCAAAAATTACCCTTTGTCTATAAGCTCCTAAAAAGTTGTTCTTAATACTTTATAATCAGATGATAAAGACAGAATTATATGAATGGCATTATACAGTGGACCCCCGGTTAACGATATTTTTTCACTCCAGAAGTATGTTCAGGTGCCAGTACTGACCGAATTTGTTCCCATAAGAAATATTGTGAAGTAGATTAGTCCATTTCAGACCCCCAAACATACACGTACAAACGCACTTACATAAATACACTTACATAATTGGTCACATTCGGAGGTAATCATTATGCGGGGGTCCACTGTATTTCTCTGGGTAATGTACTTTTAAATTTACTATTTTTTGCAGCTCAACTGAGAGTGAGGCCACTGATGATGATGAATTGTCTGTAGTGAGCACAGCTAGTGATGATGATGGTGACAACAGTCCTAGCCTTTCCTTGGTTTCCTTCTTTCCACCAATGACTGAGACATATGGTGACTACTTACATGAGCCCTCAAGAGCTGACAATTCTGTTTATAAAAGGTAACTCCTGTACAGGAATTCTCACCAAGATTCTGAATTTTCTGAGTATAGTAAGAGTAAAAGAAATTAATTTATATTTGGAATACTTTCTCAGAATTTTGAGAGAATATTTATATAAATTTCTGGTTTAGAATGATCTTTATAATTTGTAATTTTCTATTTAGTAGTAAAATATTTCTTTTATTAACCCTTAAACTGTCCAAACGTAGATCTACACTTGCGCACGTAGCGCTCCGACCGTGATTTTCTCCATAAGAAAGAATGTAAAAAAACGTAGATCTACACTCGGAGCGCTACACGAGTGAACATAGATCTACGTTTGGACACTTTAAGGGTTAAACATTCTTTTAAAGGACTCAAGAATCTGAAAAAAATAAAAATTACAAATTTAATACTGTTGTGCCATATGTCTTTTTTTTTGTAAACTATGTATGTACAAATATATCAGTTTGTAAGATGGTGTATATACCTTGAATAATCATATAGTCTTTATAGCTTTGTCAAAACTAATATTATTCAAAGTACCTGAATTCTTGATTTAAATTGCAGGCATGAACAGATTTACAGAATAACATGTTGTCCTCTGGCAAAGATGAACCAAACCATTGGGACTGCAGGTGAGCCTAAAATTCTTTTCTTAAATAAAAGCAAGACATTCTTAATTATGGAGAAGTATTTTCTATGCATTACTGTGTTTTTCTTTCAACAAACTGGCCGTATCCCACAGAGGCAGGGTGGCCCAAAAAGAAAAACAAATGTTTCTCTTTTTAAATTTAGTAATTTATACATGAGAAGAGGTTACTAGCCCCTTGCTCCCAGAATTTTAGTCTCATCTTACAACACATAGCTTATAGAGGAAGAATTCTGTTCTACTTTCCCAGGGAGATAAGAGGAAATAAACAAGAACTATTAAGAAAATAGAAGAAAACCCAGAGGGGTGTGTATTTATATGCTTGTGCATGTATGTGTAGTGTGACCTATGTGTAAGTAGAAGTAGCAAGACGTACCAGAAATCTTGCATGTTTCTTCTTTTTTTCTTTCAACAAACCATCTGTATCTCACCAAGGTAGAGTGGCCCAAAAAGAAAATCAAAAGTTTCTCTTTTTAAATTCAGCAATTTATACAGGAGAAGGGGTTACTAGCCCCTTGCTCCCAGCATTTTAGTCACCTCTTACAACATGCATGGCTTATGGAGGAAGAATTCTGTTCCACTTCCCCATGGAGATAAGAGGACATGAACAAGAACTAGTAAGAAAATAGAAGAAAACCTGGAGGGATATCTATATACAGTAGACCGTCATTTAACACGGTAGTTACGTTCCTGAAAATGCCATGCTACATAAAACCATGTTAGATGAACTGAAGACCTTATGGAAAAAATAGCATAACGTTCCTGAGAGCCCCAAAAAAGCCAAACTTTTTTTTTTTAGGCCTCCACCTCTTACAAAAATAAAAGTGAATATGTAATTGTAGTTCATTGTTGTGATGTATTATGTTGTTTTTACTGGTTAAGACTACAAATGTAACAGAAATAATAGTATTTCTTACCTTAAATTTTGGGTATTGGTGTTTGTGGATGATTGTGAAGAGAGTGGAGAGTTATGCTGTGGCCCTACTGGGCTGAGGTGGATGGTAGAAGTTCTGGTACTGAAGTCGATGGTTGTACTGGAGTCATTCAGTCAGTCAGTCAAGTCATTCAGTAAGTCAATCAAGTCAGTAAGTCAGTCAAGTCATTCAGTCAGCCAGTCAAGTCATTCAGTCAGTCAAGTCAGTAAGTCAAGTAAGTTATTCAGTCCAGTCAGTAAGTTATTCAATCAAATCAGTAAGCTATTCATTCAAGTCAGTAATTCATTCAGTAAGTCAGTCAGTCATTCAGTAAGTCAGTCAGTCATTCAGTAAGTCAGTCACTCAGCAAGTCAGTCAATCAGTCACACACACTTATGTTTACTTCTTTTTATGTGTACTGAGTAACACCTCATTATGCCACAGATTATCTCTTGTCTAATATCTTTGTTGTCTCTGTTAATTCTAAGACTTAAATGCTTATACCTTTTCTTGACACTTTCAGCAACACTGGTATACTTACTGGGTGTCATGATTGCTTGGCAGATATAAGATATAGTAATTAAACAATCAAAACACAATTCACAAATACAGCTAGCTGGTAGCAGAGAAGAAAGACTGGACGAGTATGAAGTACGAATGCTGGGATGATGGGGTGGTGTCAGGGGGTGGCAGAGGATGGCGAGAGGTCTTCCCCGCTGATCCACAACAAGGCGGCCGCTTGAGGAAAAGAGAATTTTTTTTCCTTTCCACAAACTGAACCGTGTTAAATTAATTTTATGACGTGTTACATAAAATTATGCCACAATTCTTCAGTCGTACTATACCCAAATCGTGCCAAATAAACTTGTGCTAAATGACGGTCTACTGTATATAATAGGGCCCCAATTATATGGCAGGTTAGGTTCCAGGCTACTGCCAGAAAGCAGATCATTTTTTTCCACTTATAAATGATATAAATACCAGATAACAAGTTAACACTAACATATACAGTGGACCCTCGGTAATCGGCCGTAATCTGTTCCAGAAGGTCAGTCTAAAACCGAAAAGGCCAAAAACAGAAATATTTCTCATAAGAATTAATGTAAATCCAATTAATCCATTTCATCCAAAAATATTAGCAAAAAATACATTTTTAAAGATTAACTATAGTTTTACATACAGAAAACAATGAGTACATTCATTACTTACTTTAAAATATTTGTAGTCTTAATGTAGGGCAAGAAGTGAACACAATTTTTTTGTAGGAAGTCAGTGTAGGCAGTGGTAGATGTAGGTACAGTACATGTATGTAGCCCCCCCCTGGGCTACACAACAGAGCCATATTATTACCATGTTCACTGAGTTTAATTATTTCTAACAACTACCTGTAGATGCCATCATAAACAAAGGGAACAGTAATGAATAATTCATGCAGAGAATTGTAAACAAAAGCAAATGATGGGCGGTTACTGGGTGAGACGCCAGATTCACAGTTTTCTCTAATGCTGAATTATAGAAAGCGTAATGTTTACTCTCCACCCGACTCTCCACTCGATAGCATATAAACATTGCATGTTTATATGCTATGCTTATATGCTATGTAATGTGTTTCTTATATAATATTGAAGAAAATATCATATATGGATTAATGAAAATGTTTATATTAACCTAAAATAAGACATTTAATGTGCCCAAGTGTGATTATGTATTATTAACCCTTAAACTGTCCAAACGTAGATCTACGTTGACATGCGTATTGTTCCGAACATAGATCTGCGTCCAATTTTACATGTTTTCAAATGGGGAAAATAAAGGTCGGAGCACTACGCACATCAATGTAGATCTATGTTTGGACAGTTTAAGGGTTAAACATATGTCGCATATAAACATTGTTACACTCCTGCCTTCCTGCTACACTCCCTGCATTCCTGCTACACTCCCTGCCTTCCTGCTACACTCCCTGCACACCTGCTACAATCCTTGCTTTTATGCCTGCCTGCCTTGTTTCTCACTTTCTTTACCAAAGGAACTTTACTAGGAACTTTCTTTGCGGCCATGGTTACTTATTTTGCAGTTGCAATTAATCAATAACCACCAAAAACAATGGATTATAGCGAAATGTTTGGATGAGTGAGCAGAAGCTTCCTCACTCCCCCAGAGACACAGCCACACTGACTCAGGAACGCGCGAGTGGCTGGCGGTGGACGTGTCCAGTATGGCCAGTAAGCGAAATAACGGCCAATAACCGGAATCTGAAAAAACGACCAATAACTGAGTTGGCCGATAAGCAGAACAGCCGTTAACCAAGGGGTCCACTGTTTTAAAGTTACAAAGACTAGGCTTTTAAAAAAAATAAAAAGTAAAATACACACAGACACTCTTACTTCCCTTAAAATTTTTGTAGTCTTAATGTAGGGTGAAGGTAAGTAGTATTAGGGAAAAGGGGTCGGTGTGGTTGGTAGGGTAGTCGGGTGGGGTAAATGGCCACCCCACCCACATGTAATTCTTTAAGTGCCCAGATTAAAAAAATACAAATACAGTACACTCATTATTTCCCTTTAAAAAATATTCAAGTTTTAAATGAGGGTGGAATGGAAAACAAGAAAAAAAAATAAACAAAAAGAGAGGAGGGGGAAGAGAGAGAACAAGTAAAAAAAAGGACGAGTGCAAGTATGTAAACAAACAAATGCATCTGGTTATTGTCAAATTTTTTTTTTTATTACACACTGGCCGTTTTCCCCCAAGGCAGGTGGCCCCAAAAAGAAAAATTTTCCCATCATTCCTCCATCACTGTCTTTGCCAAAGGGGTGCTTTACACTACATTTTTTTAAACTGCAACTTTAACACCCCCCTTCAAGTGCAGGCACTGTACTCCCATCTCCGGGACCCCAAAGTCCGGCCTCCGGGTTTTCCCTAAAATCCCTTCTAAATGTTTACTTGCCCACCAACACACCAAGTATTAAAAACCTTTGCTCCATTCACTCCTATCAAACCGCTCACGCATCCCTCTGGAACCAAAAGCCCCCGCACACAAAACCCTTTACCCCCTCCCCCAAACCTTTCCTAGGCTGCCCCCCACCCCGTTTTCCTTTCCCCAAAAACAGACATACCCCTTTTAAATCATTCTTTTTTTCGCCCTTTTCTCTACATTCCAAACCACCTCAACAACCCCTTTCCCAGCCCTGTGGAAAAACATTTTTTGGTAATCCCGCACCTCCCCCAAATTTCCAAATACAATTTCTCTGCATTATATTCCCCAACCACACATTGCCCCAGACATGACATCTCCACTGCCCCAGCCTTCTCCTGCTGCAACATTCTCACCCTGTTTCACACCCTAAAAGAGCGTTGGAAAACTTACTCTCAACATTCCCCTTTTTGCCTAAAAAGGACAAAGTTCTTTTGTCTCCCAGACTCCAAGTCACCACCACTTTTTTTTCCCCATCATTCAGATT